GAGGAAACTAGAAACAACAGTATGTAGTTTAACTATTTTATAGGGGGAATAGCTGGGAGGGGCTGGTTGATAATAGTATAATTCCTTTTTAAGGCTTGATGATGTTTTCCTTTTTATTTGATAAATAGCTAAATGAAATTGTATGCATTTGGGCCAAAAAGGGATGATCATATTTGACATTTGGCCTAATCAATTCTCTTAAGATCCACTCTACTTGATCTTAATATATTCACTCATAATTCTTTACAAAGATATATTTTGTTGCTTTATTGAATTACTTGGATTGCATGCAACTTTTATCCTATTTTCTTTTTCCTTTCATCACATCACTCAAGCAGCTGTAAATTATTTAACAAATAAATAAGGCTCACTCATATATCACACTTTTTTGGCCAATCAGAGTGCGCGTCAGACATCTAATAATTAAAATTGGTTTAATATAATGTWGGCGAATGATTTACCTTATTCACATTCAGTCTCTCTCTTTTTTTCATCTAACATACATGTAGCTGATTTATGTATTAATTTACCGAGTTATTTAAGGCAGGATAGCAGCTTTAAGGCATTTTATCTTATTTTTATAATATAATGATTCACATTACAAACCCACTTGTTGCCTTTCTTACTTTTGAAGATAGCAGCTGCCGGGAATTTGTGAAAAGGACTCATTTAATTTTAATCCCTTAATGCTGTATCAAGGAAATAACTTATAAATCAGATAGACAGAAATGGATTGCCAAATGGATATTTGATTAAAGTCRCCTCCTTTTCCGAAAATGCATCTATTGCTAATGGACAACGTCTTTTTAACATTAATTTTGTACTTTGTTCAATAATTTGCCATTTATTTCAATCGTTTTTATCTTTCTTAACTTTTGAAGAGTATTCAGACGTTTTTCCTAATTTCATTTGGATATTTTGCTCATGTATTATTTTTATTAATTTATAAGTTTGCACAACTAATCTAATGTTTTTATTTCTTATAATTTTTTATAGACATAGAATCCCCATTCCTTAAAGGCATTTCTTCTGCTGCTGCAGTTGCTAAGTTTGATGTTCCATCACCCCCACCGCAGTTCAGTGCAAAGTCTCTTCATTCCACTCAAGAAGGCCAAGAGAACATACCATCATCAAGCGAGTCAACAAAGAAAACAGAAACGTCATTCCATACAAACAGTTCCCTACCTAAAGATGTACTTTTGAGTCGAATGAGAGCAGTGCTGTACGGGAATTGTATTGGCGATGCAATTGGTTTATTGACAGAGTTTATGACTAAAGAAGAAGCACAAGAAGTGAGTGTAGCATTTATCATTGCATTGTCATGAAATAACTCCAGCTTGTCATAGAATTTTTTTTCCAGGCATTCATTAACTCCTCCTATGATCTTCACCATTTTCAAATTTCAAACCGTGGGGGACTGGGCAAACTCCCTTAATTGGATAAGAGGGGTAAGGTGTTKGGTGGTAATCGTCCTTCATGACAACACGGGTGCTKWATTGCAAAGACGCAGCTCATCGCGCTCTCGAGTCAAAAGTGCTATATATTACAGACACATTCACATACACTTATACGTAGGCGTGCTGCTGGCTAGRCRCTTCCTTTACATAGCAACGTCGACTRATCGGGTAGCAYAGCAGATAGAAATGGTTCGTTTTTACTGAGTGAATTTTATCCCAATATGCAAAAGAGAAATGATGACTAATGGTGGAAATCATTTGCAACTTGCATTTTATGGCCCGGGTGGGGGGAAGGACTTCGGGGTAAAAGTACCGGGGATGTTTGTCGGATCTCTTAGGGGTAAAAAATTGTGATTGGGAAACTTTTAGGGTGCCAATTTGGAGTTCCTGGAAATTTTGCATTTTCTGCAATCTCTTAGGGTGTCGGAAAAGAAGAGAAATAGGGCATCGATATTGATTTTCCTCTGCGTTTTGTTTTCTCATTAAGTATTTTATACAATTTATCATTGGAACTGATTTAATTTAACAACATGCAATCTCTTAGGGGTTCAAAATCAGTCAGCCATGCCCTTTTTTCAAGACTTCCGGGATCTTTTAGGAGTCCTTTTGAAAATTTTCGACGAGCATCCCCGGTACTTTTACCCCAGAATATCCCCCCCCCCCTCCCCCCGGGTTTTATGGGCCTTCTTCACATATGAAAATGATTACTTGATTTGCTAAATATGTGTGTACCCAGGTTTTTAAATGTCTGTCGAGTACACTTGTTACATAGGGACCAGAGCTAGAATACCCCTGACTCCCTTACACCAAAAGTTAATAAATGTTCATAAATGTTGTAGGGTAGACATGAATTGTTTCTAAGGCTTCTTTAATAATGGATTTGAAAAAAAAAATGGATTTGAATGATGTCATATTGACTTCACATTCGACTTTTTAGTGACGATTTAGATAGCCCATTTATCCATCCATCCACTCATTCAATCATTCATTAATCAATTTACTCTATTTATTTATTCAATTACTCAATCAATTAATAGTCTCCTCTCGCAGCCGTTACGAGGCTCGTTTCAAGGGAGAGACCTGGGAACAAACCTCGTAATGAGAGGAGATTAATCATTCAAATGCTGTAATTTGTTTATTCACTCAACAAGTAGCCTGCATTACATCCCAAACCRGGCGCTACAAGTTGTCAATCCAAAGACAAATCTATCAAATTTTGAATCACCAAGTCTTACTATTGACAATTTGACATTGGGTGGACTAAAAAAAATCGAACAATCATTTTATTAGAACGTTTTTGTAAATTTTATTGAGTATATATTAATATTGAAGTTTTATATAGTAGTGTTTTATTATTTTTATTGAAATATAAATTAAAACTATTAATGGTTTTCAGATGATTGCCATCATTTCATTATTTCAATAGATTTATATGGCAAAGAAAAAAGGCTGGTTTGGATTGAAAAGCCCCACAAAAATAGAGAATCTTCAACTTGAGTATAGAATGAAGCATGATGATCTACATCGATTCAGATGGCAGATAGGAGACTGGACAGATGATTCTGATCAGATGATTTTAATCCTAAGAACTCTATTGGACTGTAATGGCAAGGTAAGTCAACTGTTGTTAGGTTTGGGGTCAGTTCACACTATGACATAACCGATTCACACTCTGATATTCTTTGACATAAGCAGAAACCGAATTGTCAGGAAATGAAAAAGCTTCCATTTTCATATGTTTTCCCCGATTCATACGTTAAAAAAATCCTTTTTCTGTTRCTGGTTATGTTGTACTGTGAACGGACTCCAAATGATGTCACTTTCATGGRCGTGGATTCATACATGTAACCTGAAAAAAACGGCAAACATGAGAATCCTTTTAAGGATTTAAAAATGCTTAGTATTAA